TGACTCTGCCATATCTGGATCCTTACCATCCCTGAATGCAGCATATAGCTCCTAAGGTTAAGCCTACAATATGTGGTTCTCTGTTAGGAAACAGATGTAAACTCTTGTGTCTTCTCTCTTCTTATAAAGCCAGTTTATCTCCATGACCTGTATAGATCACAGCCTTCTTAAAGTAAGATTACTAGCTCCACCAAAATACCCAGAAAAATAATAAGATCTAATAATGTAATATTATCATTCAGATTACAAATCAGAAATGTTATCCACTGTTATGAGCATTACATTTTTAAAAAAGTCTGAAACATGAAGTGGTCTTCTGGTGACAGTCACCAGTGTTCAGCCTCAAGTCTGAATTTCCTGTTCCCTTTGTCTATAATGCTCCCTATGCTCATTTTTGTTTGGCTGGCTCCTCTGTTCTCAGATTTCAGCGCAAAAGTGACCTCCATCGCCCTTCTTTGAACACTTTATCTATCATAGCTTCTTCTCCCCAGTCTCTATCAAATCACCCTGTTTCATTTCCCAATACTGCTATCTGAAATTATTTTGTTCATTTAGTGGTTTACTAGGTTTTTTGTTTTGGTCTATCTCTTCCCACTAGAATTAAATTCTACCAGGGAAGGAATCTCATCTGTCTTGTTCACTCTGTATCCTCAGCAATAAGAACTGTGTCTGGCATAATGTAGGTGCTTAATAAACATGTTGGAAATGAATAAAAAGAAAGGCAGTATGTGTTTACACAGCGTTTTGCTAGCCTTTACTTGAGTTTCCTTTAGGGAGTGGGAATAAGGATGGTGTTGATGGCCATCATGAAAACTTAAGAGATGGTAGGGTTGGCTTTGGGAGGTTACATGGAGTTATGAAAAGAGCCAGAGCCCTCATCATGTCATTTACAAGATGTGCAAGAACTGGAACATATCCCTTAATCTCTCTGAGCTTCAGTTTTGTCATCTGTATAGTACACTGTTTCATAGGGTCAGTGTAAAAATTAAGTGGGATAAGTGATGGCATACAGTAAATAAATTAGTTCCTCTTGCCTGTCTATGAAGGCTGTAAAAAAAGGAAGGAGTCCAGAAGCCCTGGGAAAATGGTCTAATGCTTTTTCCCATCCAAGCAGTCACCTTAGCAACTGCAAGGATTCTTCACAGAGAAATCTCAAGCTGCTGTACTGGGCCAATTTTGAAGTCCTGAGTAGATTCTCAAGACACTGAGCATGAGTTTACCTTGCACAATTATTAGAGATTTATTACTTGCTTCTCAATCTCATATAAACTTATATTAAACTGGGGCTGCTATTTTTCCACAGAGGTAAGCTTATAAATCTGTTCTAAAGCACTTTGGGTGCTGATTCTGCCACAACATGTGCTTCCTTTAATGTCACCAAAACTAGAGCATTCAAAGTCATCAAAAATCCGTGGTCTCCAGGCCTGCTGGAGACCCTTTTACAGTTGCCGTCATCCTTGCCTGTTTGAACACAATTAATTACTTAAACTCAATTCATTCTACCTATTCATTTGCTCATTCGACAATCATCAACTGAGCGCCAACTACATGCATATCTAGCCCTAGTAATAAGAGTCAACATATACTGGCAGTTATTAAATGTAAATACTGTACCTAACCTCTTATGAGCCTCAGGTCATTAAATCCTTATTTTACCCCACAGGCACTATGATTTTTCCATTTTACAGATAAGAAAATTGAAGCTGAAGAGTTTATACAAATTGCCTAAGTGGGCAATAAATAATGGGTCAGCACTCTAACTTAGGTTTTTATAACACCAAACCCCATTCTGTTAATCACTATACCCTAGCAAGTAGGTTTTGACTATGCACTTGGTACTTATCATAGTGCTAGATGCTTTCATGAATTAAAAAGAAACATGGCTAGACTATGACCTTCCTCAGGGTGGGAGCTCCATCTTACTCAGCTTTGCATTCCCAGCCCCTGAAACAATGCTAATAATGTCTGTTGAAATGATGAGGGTGTGGCTCCTGTTCTCAAAGATATAGTAGAGCCAAACAGACAAGTTTGCACTAAAGACCTTAAAATAACAAATAAGAAGACCAAGACATAAAAATGTATAGGGTACAAAAGATGTGATTATGGCCAGGGAATGAATTTAACTCTATAACCAAGCAACATAATGAGGAATCTGGACTAGCCCAGGCATTGCAGACTCAAATATTTTTAGGGGCCTGGTAGGTTATATAAATGAATGAAATAAGTGAGTCGGACCAGGTGGAGACTGGTAAATTGTAAAGTGCATGCACCACATAAGGGGCCAGGTGGTCAATATCATGGGGAATGTGGATCCAGTACTGACAGAACTTCAGAATTTTCAAAAGATGAAAACAATCTGCTGTGAAATCTAATTTTTAAATGCTGGTCAGTAATTCACAAATTGAAAGAACACCTTATGAGCCAAACAATACACATCTTTAGGCCAGATTCAGCTGAGGAGACATCAGTTTGTGGTCTTTGGATTAAACTATACTTCACAATCTTTTTACCACCAACAACCCCCATATACCCTCCATGGGCTTCAGAATTTAAAACTCTTTGTCTAACAAATGGCACTTTTTGGCAGTGAAGCATAATGGGGAAAATGTGGGATTTGGAGTCAGAACTGAGTTGAATCCTAGCTCTTCAGCTTACTATCTGACCTTCAACAAATCATTTAGCTTCTGTTACTCATTTGCAAATTGGGAATAATTTGTGATCCATGTTTTTCTCTTACCATCACCATCTAATTAAGAGAAGCACCCCAGATAAGTCCATTTATGACTATTATGATTAAAATAGTTCCAGTTCAAAAATGAGCAATACAAAAGGTCTTCTTTCATGAACAGGAGTCATGATGATAGGCATACTAATGGAGAAGCTTGCATGTATTACCTTCCATTACACCTTTTATTCGATGAACTCCAAGAGCTTGGTGACAGCATAATATTTAGGGCTGGAGAACCAGGAATGTGGTGTGCTTATGAGTTTTATCTAAAGCCTTAAGTGAGCAGATGCCAGAGGGTCTATTTCTTAGTACCTCATGCTGTCAAATAAAAACTTATATCTTTGTTCTTATGAAAAACTGAACTCCTCTGTATAGTGCTTTACTAGTCACAAAATCTTTCAACACACATTTATGATGTGTTCCTCACAAGTACCCAGAGACAAGTCAACCCTATTTCCACGAACAGGCTCTAAGAAGTTGGAACTAGTTTACATTCACCAAATTAGCAAGAGATGGAACTAATTCTAGTGACTCAAGTTCATGGTTTTTCTCATATACCCAAACCTGTAAGAGGCCACACACAGCAAATGAGAAACAGGGGTGCTGTTAGAAGCTATATGCTGGTTGAATGATTGCTATTCTATTTATCTGTGAAATGCTAGGTGTGTAAGAAATGGAACTTGTTCTGGAATGGACACTAGATACTAACACGGGCACTCTGTTGTCTAACTATTAAAATAACTGTGTCAAGAAACACTAAATTGCCATCTTACATTATACACTAGGGTTCACCTTTCTAGCGCAGCATAATGGAATATAATTCAATTTTGCCTATATTTCCCAATTTACCCTTCTGTCCTGCCCCGACCATTGGGAGAAGAAGCCCTATAATCCACAAGACCTCTCCCCCTGCACACTTTTTTTTTTTTAATTGTAGCTGACTGGATGAGGTACGACAACCTAATACAAGGACAGCTAATTGAAATTGGCTTGGTTTTCTCTTGAGACTGTGGTGAGGCAATACTGAATCCTGCATCATAAAATTGCTATAGAGCTGTGGCCAAAGTGGCACCAGGGCAAGCTGAAGTTAATGGGAAGAAGAGAGACAGAAGTAAACAAAAGAGGCTGCTCCACAGGGTAGAGAGTGAAGCAGGAAAGAGAAAGAAACAATGAAAAGAATGGAGACTGATATCTCTTTTCATAACCAATTCCCACTCTGATCTCCACCAGGCACAGAAATACTTCCTTCGACTACGTCCTGAGATGTACCGATTCCTTTCCATACCCCACTGTGTTATCTGAACTAGTTTGGATGGATTTCTGTTCCTTACAATGAGTCTCTGATTAATAAAATAAGAAACAGGAGCCATAGTTATAACAGAAAACAACCAAGAGAGTAGATGATGGTTAAAAAAAAAACTAAATCTCTTCCTTTTAGATTGCACGGAAAGAGGGGGAGAGAATGAATAGATGAATAAATGAAACTTCAAAGTTGAAAAAGCCTCCAATTATGGCAGCCTCAAAATTTGCCAAGTTTATTTCTATTATGGCCATGCTCTTTTGAGAACCAGAAGGATAAGTGTTGCCAAAGCTCTCTTCTTACATAATAAAGCATGAAGCTGACAAAGGACTTAAATAGTGATAGAGTACATACTTGCCCCTTGTGAACCACAGTTCAAAATCCCCTTATAACTTACAGATCTTACTATTATGATGTCCATTCTCCACCTTCCTCCAATCAACTTACTGTTGTATAACTCTGTTTGGGTCACTGGCTTGAACAGGTCAACATCTTCCCTGATTTCCTAGGAAGAATTAGTCACTTTTTACTCTGACTCCCATAGCAATTAACACGTTTCTCTATGTGAGTTCTTCTCAGTAGGAGAATTATATTACAATTCTTTGCTCGTGAGTTTTATTTCTCAATTGGACCACAAGTGCCTTGAGAGCAGGAACTATGGTTCATTCTTTATCTCTGTTGTGCCTTGCACATTGTCTGGCATACATGCTGGTAGAATAAATCAACACCCATCAGTTTCATCTCATGGGAGAGGTCCTGAAAACAATAATTAAGATTTAAAATTTTTCTGTTACAAATCAACTGAGTTACAAATACTTATATAAATTGGTTTAACCATTTCAACTGAGCTTTCACTTATAGTAAAAAAAAAAAAAAAAGTACCAACATGATGTCAGAATTTAAGTATCTTCCAGTTAAAAAAATGTATTTCAAAATACTGCATGGGATATATAGAATGGGGATGAAGATAGGAAGATTAAAACCCTCCAAACTATTAAGTGCAACTCTGTTTTGTTGAGCTCATATTGTACAATAAATTTAATACTGAAACGTCAAAGTAATCATTAACTAAAATGACCACTTTAAAAAAGTACAAACCCAACATTTTGCCTGAAATGGTCAGAATGCCAGGATATGGAGCTAGACTGATTCTGGAAACAGAGTTTATGGGTCAAGTAGACACTGGTTGATGGCAACTCAGCTTTGCAAACTTCTTATGATGTGTGGTGAGAATAGCCTCCTCTTTAGCAGTAACTACACTTTCCTACTGGCAAAGTTGAGGAAGGGGGAAAGCAAGCCATTAACAACTGTGATGGGTTCTGCTGAAGGTCATGGTGTCACCTATTCACTGTATTCTCCAATTTCAAACAAAGAGTGCGAGAGACATAATAAGCTGAACTTCGATCAAGGTACTACTTTTGTTAATGAAGACCCTATTAATAAAATACAGTACTGACTGAGATGGACTGGTGTCTGCAGCTACAGTAGGTTCCTCTGCCAACTATCTAACTGACGTAAAGTTATCTGAATCCCAGGGAAGGAATGACTTAATTTACTCATCTAGTCATTAATGGGGAGTTGAAACAAGGACCTATCTGGATCCATCAGAGGCAATTCCTTCCTAATCTGCTTACTGCAATAGAGAAAAGAGCAAGGATGGCCCATCCTGCCTAAATCGAGTGATCTAGGAAAGCAAAAGAGAAGAAAGACAGGGCCATGTTGTCTTTTCAGTGCAGTGATTAACACATTAACAATGTACAACAGAGAAGAGAGGCCAAATGACTGCCAGACTCTCACCAATCAGAGAAGTTACTCTTCTCCCCAAGGGTAGGAGCAAGTAAAAATAAAAGAAAGGCAAAAGCATGCCCTTGAGAAGGAGGAAAAGTTGGCAGAAGTCTCTAATTCTATGGCTATGTGGGGGTGGGGGAAAATAAGATTTCTCCCAGACTCCCAGGCTGACACTGTGATGTCATCATAAAGTGAAATATGCTAGAAGAGTATATAAAGATGCTCGGATACCAAAAGATGTTGGAGAAACACTGTATCCAAGACTACATTAGTTCCATGACCTCAAGGCCTTCTGTGTTTCCAAGAATCCTACTTTGAAGAGGAAAAATAAATTCTATCTCATTTTTGGATTCACAAGAAAGCCAAGGAGAACATATGAGCAAAGGCAAAGAGGAAAAGCGCACACCCAATGGATAAGATAAATGCAAAACAGTTATTATAACATCTTTCTCCCCAAACCAACCTTCCCTCCCAATAGCACCACTCCCTGTAGTCTGTGGTCTCCTAAGACAAAGACCTTGGAGTCTTGGAGCAACAGATGGGCAGAGCTAGAAGGAACCTCAAGACCCCATCAAAGTCAGACCTCTCATTTTATAAATGTTCAATCTCAAGCCCAGAGAGGTACAATGACTTTTCTGAGTCTATATAACTAACTGTAGAGCTAGGCTAGGAAGCCAGTGCTCTTGATTTAGCTCCATTTTTCTCTTTTATTCTTGAAATGCAGCCACTCACTAAGTCCTCTCCACTTCCCCTTCCCATGTTTTCCCCACCTAGTCTTTTCTTCCCCTTGCTACTGCTCTTATCCAAGCTTAGAACTTCAAGATCTTTCATCTGAATCATTGCAATAACGTTGTAAACTTGTAGGCCTTCAGGATACTTCCTTCCATCTGAAATCACTTCTCATTCAGCCTCAACAGTGATCCCCTGCTCTACTGGGGTCGGCTGCACACTTTGCCTCTGCTCTTTTCTCTTTTCCAGCATGTCCCACACAGGGGGTTTCTGAATGGCAACATCTGCACTTGTTTTTATGTCAGCAATACATCGCAGGTCTTTTATACTGTTTGCTAACTATATACATGAGCAATACTTTGCCATGTTTGTGCACCCTTGGCCATTCCTTAGATAGTAACAATCTTGGCCATAATCGCTAACACTGATTGAGGGCTAACTATGTGCCAGGCGCTGTTCTAAGAGTGTTACGTGTCATGATTTCATTCAATCCTCATAACATCCTCACAGGTGAAGAAGCTGTTACCACTCCCCATTTTCCAGATGAAGAGAATTTAAAACGAAAAGATTAAATAATTGGCCGAAAGTCACACAGCCAGTAAATGGTAAAGGGCCAGGGTTTGAACCAAAGCAACTGGTTACAAACTCTATGTTCTTAGCCACCTCCCTCAGAATGAAGGAGAAAGGAGCAGAGCTAAAGCTGAACCACAGTAGACATGTAGTATGAGAGAGAAATAAATGTTTGTTGTTATCACTGAGATTTCTGGATCATTTGCATATCCCATGCACTTATAACAGTGCCTTGCAAAAAGAAGGTACTCAACAGGTTTTTCTTTTCTTTTTTTTTTTTTTTTAACTAAACGAATAATAATTATCTCCTTAATCCTCACAGTAACCTTATTTTAGACACCATTATTATCTCCTTTTTCTGTTGAGAAAACCAAGGCCTAGGGAGTTTAAATAGTAGGGCTAAGGTTAAATAGCTAATAGGTGATGAAGCTGGAATTCAGACCCAGAACCTCTGACTCCAAAGCCCATATTCGTTAACCAGTGCATTACACTGATTCTGAGAACTCTTAAAACTGCTAGAGTTTGAAACACACATTTGGTTTTTAATTATGTGTTATCTTATTGTTGTCTGATCATTTCACATATTATAATCTTAATTAGCTTCCGCCATTTCCCCTTGGTTGTAAGCTACTTGCAGGCAAATATTCCACTGAATCACAAACCTAAGCACCTGGTCAAGGTTCAGTTAAAGACTTGTTTTTACCAACTGATGGTGGCTGATTCAGGGCAAGAGCTCACCCTTTGTAGCTCCAGTCCTCAGGGGAGTCAGATGTCTGGCTTGAGCTCTCCTCACTTTGACTCAGAACTCCAGAGTCAAAGACTGAATTTTAAACAACTTTCAAGACTGAAAGTTGTGTTTTGTTTTCAGAAACATAACCTTTGGAGGGGGAGATGACGTCTTTCTTCTCAGATGTTAGCCCTATCACTCAAAGGTGGGCAGGAAGAGAAACACCTTCTAGACAGATTGTTTTAAAAGAGGAAAGAGGAAATGGTCAGGCCTCAACTGGAAAAGCAGGAATCAGCACAAAAAGTCTATCTATTTTGGGAAATATCTCAGAATTATATATTTAAGTTCTCACCCTGATTTTCCAGACAGCAGCCTGCACTACTGCTGGCTCAGACAGAATGCTGTTCTCCAATCTCCTCATGCACAAGGCACACAGTTCTGAAGCTGAAAGGGTGGCCGCTGTTATGAAAGCACCTCTGCAGCCCACCACTTGCCAAGGACAGAGAAAGTACTACCCAAACCTCTCCAGGGGTTATTTTACCACAGTCCTAAGAGTTTACTCTCTGGAAAACTCTCCCTACTGCATCCCTGCCCCTCTCAGAAGGCTCAAACAGCAGACAGGGCTCATGTGTAGCTTTATACGAAAACAGCAAAGAATAGTTTAGATTAAAATAGTTAAATAGAGTAACACTCCTCTTTAGATTAAATATATTAAGTAGAAAAGATTAAAACCTCTCTTTAGAGCAGATGTGCATGGGAGAACATTTAATATTTATTTACTAAATATTTAAATTGTCATTCATTCATTCATTCATTCATTTCTGTGCAAGCCTACAATAGTGATTTGAAGAAGGCAGCAGAGAGAGGTGACTAAGAACATAGACTCTGCAACCAGACGGCTTTGGTTCAAACCTCAGCCCTTTACCATTTATTGGCTGTGTGATCTTGGGCCAATTATTTATTCTTTTCATTTTAAATTCTCCTAAAAAATAGGGGTGGTAACAGCCTCTTCACCTGTGAGGATATTATAAGGATTAAATAAAATCATGACACGTAACACTCTTAGAACAGCGCCTGGCACATAGTTAGCCCTCAATCAGTTTTAGCGATTATGGCCATGTTTGTTACTATCTAAGGAATGGCTAAGGGTGCACAAGTCCCAGTCAGTCATTTTCCAAGTTTGGAACATGGCAAAGTATTGCTCACATATATAGTTAGCAAACAGTATAACTGAACTGCTATGTGTTGCTGAGATTTAAAAAAATCAAGTACAGATGTTGCTATTCAGAAGTTCACAGGCTATTGGTGTGACATAGCATACAGATAATTACAAAACAGAGGAGAAAGTAGTAAGTCCAAAACTGAACTATAAAAACTAGAGGATCAAAGAAGGAGTCAAAGAAGAGGGAACTAAGTTGGACCTTGAAAAAAGGTAGGAGTTGTACAGATTAAAAAACAGAAAGATAGCTGACTCTCCCCATAGCAGAGCACTGGAGGGATAGCAACAGAAGCTGCTGCTGAAGAGGCATCATGGACACTGGCCATCTGTGTGGCACTACATCTGGAATGATGTTTCCACGAGGAATGTAAGGAGGCCGAGACTGTTCTCTGTCCTCTTTACTTACCTGAGCATTCTTACCACAACTTCTCCTTAACTAAGGTAATGTTAGCATACCTCTGTTATGCAACTG